GACTATCATTTTGGTAATTTACTGATTGGTAATATTAGCCCCTGACATTAGAGGTGGGGTTTTTACTTGGACTGGCTAAAACAGCTAATCAGCCTTATAAAGAAGGCTGGCTTAGGTCAGATTCCACTACCCATAAATATGGGGTTGTCTGTTTTTGTCTCCATTGGAACCATGCAAATCTGATGACCACAGAGTGGTAGGCAGGGGTTAAAGACCCCTCCAATATTACTGCAAGAAAATCTGCACATGCTGTTAAGAAATCTACCACAGTCTAATTAGTGTGACTAGCTAAGTTAGACCAAATGTATTGCTTTTTATTTGAAAGTCTGTGTGCTGTGACATGGTTTGCACTGCTTTTTCCCCCCTCCCCCTTTCTCTGCCTTTTAAATCCAACCCTTTCTCTGCCTTTTAAATATAAAGACTATTTTTAGGCTTTATTTAGTACAGTATATGTCTCTGAGATATTTCTGCTAATCTCTTCCCTGCATGGTAGACTGCATGGACACAATTTTCTATAAGGTGTTCTCCAGGGTTTACACCCTGTTATTTCTGAATGGGCCTAGTACTGCACGAGAAAGAAATCTTCTCAGAGGGTCAGTCTAGAAGTTCTCTGGAGGTCTCTGAGAGGTGACAGCCTTTAACATGTTCTTTCCAGGGAGCCCTTCATCTAACGGAGTTTCCCAACAAGGAAAGTCACTTCTGTAGAGAAAGTAATAGGAAAACAGGAAATGTGCTCAGTGTCTGAAAGCGACGAAAGAGACTGTGGCCTAACCACAGGGTCTGGGGGGACTACAGAAATAACCTAACAGGATTGTAACACTGCCCTTCTCCGCCCAGGGGAGGGAGAAAGGGTGGTCGGGACCAGCCATGTTAGGATAAAAATAGTGACTCAAAGGACTGCCCTTGGAGAAGCTTGGATGATTGCTCATTATGCAACTTACTTCTCCACTTTATTTGAATAAAAGCTTTCATAAATTCTTTCACTGTTGTCCTGCATTGGAGTAATTCAGGTAACAGGGGTCTGATGTGTTCCAGACCCTGGGAATGATCTCAACACTTCCGTCACAGTGACTTTGGGCCAGTCATTCTCTAGCAGCCTAACCTACTTCACAAGATTGTTGTGGTGGAGGAGCAGGGTGGCCAGCTCTGGGTTGGGAAATACCTGGAGATTTGGGGGGGTGGCGCCTGGAAAGGGTGAGGTTTGGGGAGAGGGGGGCTGGAGCATATTGCCATAAAGTCTACCCTCTGAAGCTGCCATTTTCTCTAGGGGAACCAATCTCTGTAGCTTGGAGATCAGATGTAATTCTAGGAAATCTCCAGGCACCACCTGGAGGTTGGCAACCTTAGCAAAGAGTGTAAGCTACCCTGAGCTCTTTGGAGGAAGTGAGAGTTTCAGTTGCATTGTGGGAATATGTAGCAAACTCTTGGCCTGAAACATTACAAAACTCTTTGCTACTCATAAAAATTTTTATTCGGGGGGGGTGGGGGACAACACCACTGACAAAGATACTTACAAGTCTGGAAGTGCCATCAAGTTGCAGCCCGCTTAGGCACCAGTTTGTCCTCCTCTGCAGAGCCTTGGTCCTCCATCCAAGTACTGATTGTGCGTAGCTTCTGAGATCTGACAAGATCGGGCTATAATGTGGTGCCTTCCCTCCCTTACTAGTTTACAGTAAATACAAAAATAAACGGGCGTCTCATGGCTCTGACAAGTTTTTTACTTGTACATGGACCACAGCCCACTTTGTCAATCAGACGGATGCTTCTTCTGAAAGAAAAGCTTCTGGGAGCCACAAGACTGTCATTGGTGTTTGCAGCAGCCAGCGAACACAGAGACCCCTCTGGAGTGAATACAACACCCCTGTAATTGTGTCCTGTTGTTACCGCCAATGGCCTGCCTTGTTGTTTGGGGAAATTACCTATGAGGCAGGATAGGCCAGAGGGCTACAGGAATCACAGACCACTTGTATACTGAGCTCCGGCACACTAGGAAGGCTCCAGATTTGAAGAGTAAATTAAATAGGTTTTATTAAAGTAGGTCTCTAATTACAAGCACACTAAACATTCAAAAAGAGCAAGCGATACAGAACTAATACAGAACTATGAAAGCAGAGGTGATTGATAGTGAATAGAGGGGTCAGTTGTTGTTGTTGTTAATTAATTAAACTTTTATCCCGCCCTCCCGGCCGAGGCTGGCTTAGGGCAGCTTATAGCAGATAGAATACCCAAATATATAGGTAATAAATACAACATTAAAATACTATATTAAAACCAGGTATAATAATAAAATGCTAATCTTATGCGCCGGTACCGCTGGTCTGCTTTAGCTATCGTACCGCTGGTCTGCTTTAGATGTCCTAAGAAGGTACTTCAGATGTCATAAAAGGGGGGAATCAGCAGTTATTGGGGTCCCGTGGATCAGGGCTGTTCGCCATACTTTGTCAGTTGGCATCCCTGGTGGTAATAGTAGTGGGGGGGGGGGGCCCTCCAAAAGCCTGGCAGAAGAGCTTCATTTTACAGGCCCTGCAGAACTGTAAAAGGTCCCACAGGGGCCTGGTCTCCTCTGGGAGCTCATTCCACCAGAGTGGAGCCGCCACCAAAAAAGCCCTGGCCGTTGCCAGCCTGGCCTCCTTAATGCTCGGGAGGACCAGATGATTCTGGATCCCCGGTCACAGTGCTTTCTGGGGTACATATGGGGAAAGGCGGTCCCTCAGGTATGTAGGTCCTCGGCAGCCAGTGCAATGCCTTTAGTGCAGACTGAATGTGCTCCCGGTTAGGGAGTTCCATCAACAGCCTGGCCGCGGCATTTTACACCAGCTGAAGCTTCCAGATCTGCGACAAGGGCAGCCCCATGTAGAGGGCATTACAGTAATCCAATCTCGAGGTGACCATTGCATGGATCACTGTTGCCAAGTCACTGCGTTCAAGGAAGGGATCCAACTGAAGTTGAGCTACACTTTGTCCCGTGGGCGGGAAGGAATAACCGATGCAGCTGAGCTGGGAAAGGAAACCAGTCACACAGTTGATTAATATGAAGACATTACAACTAGACAAGTGGTACAAGGTTACAGATAACAGGAGAGGCAAGCAGGGAAAGGAATGTGGCACCCAGTCGTACACAGGTCAGGCGGGTGCCCCCCCCCAGTCCACAAAACCATATGGCAGCGTAGCGGACAGGCATAATTGCTCTGTTTTCTAGCATGTGTTTGAATGCACATTTCCCTACTAAAATTTAAAAAAATGGGAATAAAACAGAATCCACATCTTGCCTTTTTTTAAAAAAAACAAAACCTTGCCCTTTCTCCAGAGATCACAGCAGCATTCATGGCTCTCCTCCATTCTATCCCCACAAGAACCCTGTGGGCTAGGCTGACTGGTCCCAGGTATTCCAATGAGCTTCAAGGCAGAATGGAGATTTGAACCTGGGCCTTTCCATGCCTACTCCATGTTCAAACCACTTCCCAGTTTCCAGAAAAATCAAAAATTGCATTTTGAGTGCCCATCTGAAATCAATAAGAGAGCGACTAAGAATCGAAATGCCTTCTCAACTAAGTGCTTGTTCTAGGAGATTTTGGAAACTGAGACAGAAAGCTCTTGGTTTGCTCTCTGTTGCAGCCAGTGTGGTGTAGTGGTTAGAGTGTCAAACTAGGTGCTGGGAGACCAGATTTAAATCCCCAGTCTGCCATGGAAGCTTGTTGGGCAATCTTGGACCAATCACACACTCTCACCTACTTCACAGGGTTGTAGTGAGGACAAATTGGAGCAGAGGAGAACAATGTACCCCACTTCGAGTCCCCCAGTGGGGAGAAAGGCAGGGACAGGGTATAAATAAAGTACATAAAATAGTGTGTAAGTATTCAGAAAAGCTTCCAATTCTTTCCACTCACAGCCTGAACAAACAAGGTAGCTAAAATGAATAATGTATAAGTATGTAGGGAGGTCTCCAATTCTTTCTGCCTGTGGCCTGAACCAAGAAGGTACCTATTTTAGATTCACTCCAGATGAGTCAAAGAACAACTGCCATTCCTCCATGGTGTCAGACTTCCTGGAGAGATGTGCCAGTTACCCAACGCAGCATGTGTTATCCCAGACTGAGAAAAGAAACTCCCTCAGGGAGGCAGATTCTGGGAGGGCTGGCCAGTAGAGTGAAGGCTGCCTGAGCACAGCGTGTGCATGTTTGTGAGTTCCATGGCTCAGCTAGTGAGCAATTGTCCCCAGAGAGGAGCCTGTGAACTTGATAGGAAGCCCAGAGAAATGAGCATATACACCTGAGACTTGACCCACGAGCAGAATATGAAAGTCATGAGCAGTCACGCAGGCTTGGGCTTTGTTTGGTCTCAAGATGAAGGCCAAGGGGTCAAGCTAGCAACTCCACAACAGATGTCTTCATCCGCTCCAAGTTTTGACTGGTGTTGTGTCCACTGACCACCACCGGAGGTCAGCGCATATCCCTGAGCTTCAGTCCTGGACAACAATGGGGACTAGGATTCTAGTCCCTCCACTGGGGAACCAATGGGAACCTTGGCGGGAGATTCAAACCCTCCAATGGTGACCAGGGGTGTGTCCCCAGGTGTGTATATAGTTAGCCTGCCGGCCGTTTGCCGGCATGTCTTGTTGTGTACCTAATAAAGCGTGCTATGCACCACGTCGTTGTCCGTCGTCTTTCCATGCGGCTTCCCACTACATAACAGTGGCGACGAAGGTGGGATTTAGCCGCATTTGAGCCGGGCTGTCGCGAGGGACCAGGAGGACGCTAAGTTGCCGTGCCGATGAGCGAAGAACCGAACAGCTCGACCGCTCCTCCCGCAACCCCACCGACGCGCACAATGGCTACCGCTCCCAGGCTAGGGCTGCTTCCGCCCTTCGACATAGCCCACCCGCAAGACTGGGCTTCCTGGGTCAAGCCCAAGATAGATGCGGAACTGGACCGCCTTGTGGCGCAGGGCGTCCTAGAGCCCGTCTCCCACGCCGCTTGGGAGACACCCATCGTTGTAGTAAAGAAACCGAATGGGTCAGTCCGCATCTGCGCGGACTATAAATGTACTTTGAACAGGGCGCTACAGGACCACGCGTACCCGGTCCCTGTAGTCAGCCACGTTCTGGCCACCTTGGGCGGGGCAAAGATCTTTGGGAAACTAGATCTTGCCCAAGCATACCAGCAGTTGCCTGTTGACGAGGCAACTGCGGAAGCGCAGACCATAGTTACCCACCGGGGGGCATTCCGTGTTAAGCGCTTGAGTTTTGGAGTGAGCGTGGCGCCGGGACTATTTCAGCAATTGATGGACTCTCTTCTCAAAGGGATCCCTGGCGTCACGCCCTTCTTCGACGATGTATTGATCGCCGCTGCCACGCCCGCCGACTTCGCGACCCGCCTCCGCACCGTGCTCGGCCGTTTCCAGGACGCCGGGCTGAAGGTCAAGCTGGACAAGTGCCGCCTGGGGGTTCCGTCGGTGGATTTTTTAGGCTTCACAGTGGACCGGGAGGGCCTCCACCCGACGCGGGAAAAAGTAAAGGCTATCGTGGAAGCGCCGCCGCCCAAGTCCAAGGCGGAGCTGCAGGCTTTCCTCGGCATAGTGAACTTTTATCACGCCTTCCTCCCCCACAAGGCGGCGGTAGCGGAACCCCTCCACCGCTTGCTGGACAAAACGGCCCCTTGGCTGTGGGGCCCCCGGCAGGCCGCAGCCTTCAAGTCCGTCAAGGAACTTTTAATTTCTAACTCTGTGTTGGCCCACTTCGATGAGTCGCTGCCGGTGGTGCTGGCGTGCGACGCATCACCCTACGGAGTGGGCGCAGTGCTGGCACATCGCCTCCCCGACGGCCGGGAGGTCCCGGTCGCATACTACTCGCGAACCCTATCTGCGGCAGAGAGGAACTACGCCCAGATAGATCGCGAGGGTCTAGCTATCGTGGCCGGGGTCAAGAAGTTCCACGACTTCGTCTACGGCCGACCCTTCACGATCGCCACCGACCACCGACCGCTCCTCGGCCTGTTCGCACCGGACCGCAGAACACCCCAGGTCATCTCCCCGCGCGTCCTGCGTTGGACCATCTTTCTGGCGGCCTACGATTACAGCATCGTGCACCGTCCCGGGAAGGCCATGGGCCACGCTGACGCCCTCAGCCGCCTTCCCCTGCCAGACATCGTGGTGGACCCGGCCCCCGTCCATCGGATCCTCCAGGTGGAGGATCTCCCCGACGCTCCCCTCCAAGCAGCTGATGTCGCCCGCCGCACGGCCCGGGACCCCATCATATCCCGGGTGCTGAGCTGGGTGGTGAGGGGGTGGCCTACAGGGGTGGATGGGCCGGAGTTCGCTGCTTTCAAGGCCCGCCGAGAGGAACTGTCGGCTCACAAGGGCTGCCTACTATGGGGAGACCGGGTCGTGGTCCCTAGCGCCCTACGCCAGGGAGTCCTACGGGCGCTACACGAGGCACATCCGGGCATCGTACGAATGAAAGGACTGGCCAGAAGCTACGTCTGGTGGCCCGGCATTGACGCTGAGGTAGAGGCATGGGTGAAGCGGTGCCAGACCTGCCAAGCCGTGCGTCCCAGCCCGCCGGGGGCGCCGCACTCCTCGTGGGAATCCACCCGCACCCCATGGTCACGGCTGCACATTGATTTCGCCGGGCCATTCCATGGACTGTTGTTTCTGGTGACGGTGGATTCCTACACCAAATGGTTGGAAATCAGCCCCGTCTCCGCGACGTCCACCAAGGCGACCATCCGTGCCCTCAGGAAGATCTTTGCCACCCACGGTCTGCCAGACACCATCGTCTCAGACAACGGGACGGCGTTCACCTCCGAGGAGTTCCGGCAATTCCTCAGCGGCAACCTGATCCAGCACATCAGGACGGCACCCTTCCACCCGGCAACCAACGGCCAAGCCGAGCGTATGGTCCGGACGGCGAAGGAGGCCCTCAGCCGCCTATCGGAGGGGGACTGGGAATGCCGCATCGCCAGGTTCCTCCTAGCGCAGCGGACTACGCCGAACCCGGTAAGCGGCCGCTGCCCCGCCGAGCTGTTGATGGGCCGGAGGCCCACGATCCTGCTGGACCGCTTACACCCCGATCGGGCTCCGGGACAGCGGAACCCCACAGAGCAGAGGGAAGCGCCACGCGGGTTCTTTCCTGAGGAGCCCGTGTTCGCCCGGAACTTTGGCAGGGGACCGGAGTGGCTCGCGGGCCGCATCATCCGACCAACGGGCACCGTCATGTATGAGGTGTCCACTGAGTGCGGCCAGGTCCTCCGGAGGCACATCGACCAGCTCCGGCGGCGAATGCTCCCCGAGCACGAACCATCGGAAGTACCATCGGAAGCAGAGGACCCCATCGAGGCCCCTGAGCAAACCACGCCCGCGCCCGAGGACGCACTCAGAGACAGGCCGCCCCAGGCAGCAGAGGCGGGGGCCCCAGAGCCCGAACTGGCAGCTGCGGAAGCCCCAGCTCCACCACAGACGTCCACCCCGGAGGTCAGAACCCCGGTGGCCCCAGCACAGGGCCCCAGACGATCCACTAGGGTACGACAGCCCCCAGCGTACCTAAAAGACTATGTTACCTAGGGGAGGGTCCGGACTATGGGGGGAGGGGTGTTGTGTCCACTGACCACCACCGGAGGTCAGCGCATATCCCTGAGCTTCAGTCCTGGACAACAATGGGGACTAGGATTCTAGTCCCTCCACTGGGGAACCAATGGGAACCTTGGCGGGAGATTCAAACCCTCCAATGGTGACCAGGGGTGTGTCCCCAGGTGTGTATATAGTTAGCCTGCCGGCCGTTTGCCGGCATGTCTTGTTGTGTACCTAATAAAGCGTGCTATGCACCACGTCGTTGTCCGTCGTCTTTCCATGCGGCTTCCCACTACATAACAACTGGATATTGTTTTAACTGGCCTCTGTAACATCCCTCACCAGCACTGTTCCCTTTGCGTTGTCTGCGGCTCTAACTGTAAATACTTCTGTCTAATGGATGAACCTACCAGGGCAACTGAGGAAATGAGCTCTGACTCACAAAAACTTCTGCTGGAATAAATTTTGGTTAGTCTTTCAGGTGCCAATGGTAGGATTGCCAGCTGTGGGCTGTGGAATTTCCAGAGACTTGGGGAGTGGAGCCTGGAGAGGGTGGAGTTTGGGGAGGGGAGACCTCAGCAAGGTATAATGCCATAGAGTCCACCCTCCAAAGTAGCCATTTTCTTGACGGGGATTAATCTCTGTAGTCCTGAGATCAGTTGTAATTCCAGGAGCTCTCAAGGGCCCACTCGGAGGCTGGCAATCCTAGCCACCATGTGCTTATGTCTAAAAAAAACTGTCAAGTCGCAGCCAACTTATATCAACCCCAACAAGGGGCTTTCAAAGCAAGTGAGAAGCAGAGGGAGGTGGTTTGCCATGTTCTTCCTCTGTAGAATCTTCCTTGGTGGTCTCCCTTCCAAATACTGACCCTCCTTAGCTTCCAAGTTCTGATAATACCAGGCTATACCATGCTGCCTTCCCTCCCCTAGTTACCATACTTCATTTATTTTTTTTACAACAGAAGTGAATTTAAAGCTGGAGTTGGAAGGTGGATAACGAGGTGGCACTGGGTCGTGTTCTGGGTGGGCCTAAAGGCAGCAAAGGAGAACTGGTGAGGCCATTTCACAGAGCAAGAGACCTGCTGGTGGTAGTGTTGAAGGAGCAAACTCTTTAGTAAAGCTATACAGGGCCCGAGATATGGAACCAGGTGACACCCGAAAAAAATTGCCACAAAGACACAGTGTTATGTATCGAGCCTGAACTGTACTTGCAAAAGGACTTAGCTTGGGGATGCATAACAATAGCTTGCTAGGATCCTAGAATGGACCAGTAGGGTGACAGGGATCCTAGAGTTACCCAACTGGGAAACAATGTAGTGTAAATAGCCTATAGTTGGGAGTGGGGTGTGTTTTGGGTGTAACCTTTTTCAGGCATAAATACCCGGCTGGCCAGGGGTTTCTCAGTCTTCTTTCTCTTGCTGAATCACTAATAAACTATGAGCTAATCATTTGAACGAGTCTGAACCCAGTATATTTCACACAGTCTCCCACTTCCAATGACGCGCTTGTTTTTCTTCTCCACATCCTCCCTTTCCCCCCTCGTGCCTTCCAACTGCCTCTTTATCACTTGCCAGAGTTTGGTCCCCCAGACTCCCACATTCTGTCTGCAGCTTTTCTTGATACCTGCTCTCATTTCTTGCTTTCTGTTTTGTTAATTTCAGGCTCCTTTTGGAAGTTTAAGTGGGGGGGTTTGGTCCCCACAGCCCCTTCTGCCAGATCTTGACATTCTCCAAAGAACAAACGATGCCTTTTTCTTCCCCCTAATTTTTCCTTTCTTTGATGAAGGCACGCTTACCCAAATCAGACCCGGCAAGGCCTATAATTACCTGCCTGCTTCTGTGAGTTCTCCCTGCTCCTTTGTTTCCATCAAATTGTCTCTTTGGGGGGGTGGGGAAAGGAAAAAAGGGGGGAAATGCAGGGCATTCTTTCTCCTCCCCTTTTATATTTTCAAATCCATTATTGAGATGTCAGTGAACAATCTCCTGTGCTGTCCCCTTCCACTCCTCTAAACAAATTCATTGAGGCGGCCAGCACACACGCAGCCCTTTCTTCCTCCCGCACAGAAATCCCTGGGTAACCTATTTCAGTTACAATTCTTCAGCAGAGATTCTTAGGTCTCGTTCTTGGGTGAGATGCAGTTGGGGTTGGAAGTGGGGAAAGGCATTTGAAAACCTCATTGTTTCAGATGTTGCAATCCCACCCACCAGCTTAAAGGGTGGCGGGGGGAGATAGAATAGAGAGAGTACTAGATGATGAGAACTGGCAATGTACTCAATGTACTCAACATACGTACCCAGAAAGGAGATGTCTGGGCAAAGAAAGATTTGATTTCTCCTCTAGCACTCAAGCACAGACAACATTTAGAGTGGTGGGGCTGGTTCGGAAGAAGAGTCATTGTGTTCCATTCAGGCTTACACTTTCCTCCCCACAGGGTCAGGCTCTAAAGAAATAGTTCTGTAAGTTTGCAGCAGAAGTCATGCTTGGATTGGCCACTCAGGGGCTGGTGTTTGTAGATGCAAGGTTGTCCGCCTCTGGCAGCAGGGCCTTCTCAGTAGTTGCCCTGGGTTGCAGTGGCAAACTTAGGCTGTGATCATACGCACAATTAGACCCAACATAGGCACAAATGCCGGGTGGATTTAAAGGGTGCAATCTGACAACAACATCTGGGAAGCGTCCAACAACCGTCGGCAACCCGATCTGCTCCACCGCAGAAGTGGAGTTAAAAGACACTGGGGAAAATCCGGTAGTAAACGGGTTGCAACAGGCCACGGATGGACTTTCCCGTCTGATCGCTCCAGCGTGCTCTCATGCAGTCGGGATGGACTGATCAGGCCATCCCGACTCTGTGCCATTGTTTTTTTCCCCCTTTGCAGTATGCGCATCATTGCAAACTCCATAGGGAGCCCTCAGTGCGAAGACACGGTTCATCGATTCTTCATTTAAGCACATAGGAAACAAATGGCACAAAAAGCCCACAACTCATCCGCAGTTACGTCTGATCACACACTGACAGGCTGCACCCACAGCTTCAAAGGGGCGTGTGATGGTGCAACTGCGGGTCAAATTCCTCTGGAGGAAATAGCCTCGCTTTCCCCCCCCCCATTTTATCTGGCATGTGTGACCGCACCCTTACTCCCAAGAGGTCTTGCCTCCTGCTGGAAACAAGTGAAAAAATGCTTGTTCTGGCAGGACTTCAGAGACCTGGCCCTGGTTTCAATAAGTTGGAAATCTCTTCTGCTGCTGTTGATTTTCCATTGTCAATTGATTACTGCTTGAACTTCAACTGGAATGGACTTATCTGTTTATATTTTGTAAACTGCTTTGGAAACGTATTATAGGAAAGGATAGAAGGAATTCAGGAGGATAGATGCATCAGTGACTACCATCCATGATGACTAATTGAAACCTCCATGTTCAGAAGCAGTCAGTCTCTGAATCCTAGCTACCATGTGTCTTGGCATTCCCAGTGACAAGAGGCAACATTAAGGGAAGGCCTGGACTTCTGTGTCCTATTGCTGGCTCTCCACACAACTGGTTGGCTGCTGCATAAGACAGGGTGCTGGACTAGATGGGCCACTGGTCAGATCCAGCAGGGCTCTTCTTATGTTCTTATAACAACAATTAAGAATGTTTACCCCTGCTATAACTCCTCGCTGAGCTTACGGCTCAAGGTGAACCTCATCCCACCTCCAGCTTCCAACCGCTGTCAAATTCACCATCCAAGACAGAGCAGGAAGCAACCAGGCAAGGCAATCTTCCATTATGCATTGATCCAACTCAGTAAAGAATCCCAAAGAACATTTGGCTTGGGGGGGGAGTAGTGTATTCGCCTTCTGCTAAGCAGTGCAGGAGCATTTTGCTTCCAGTACTTAAGAATGTAAGAACATAAGAAGAGCCCTGCTGTATCAGACCAGAAGTCCACCTAGTCCAACATCCTGTATCACGCAGTGGACAGGCAGTTACTCTGGAAGGCCAATGACAGGGCATCCTTAAGCATTTGCCTTGAACGTTGATAGTCATTTATATGGGAATTGGCCAGTTCTTGGGAGTCATAGAATCATAGAATGTTAGAGTTGGGATCTTGCAGGTAATCTAGTCCAGCCCCATGCACTCTGCAGGAGCATAGCCTAAAGATAGCCCTACAGCATACCCAAAATATGGTCGTCCAGCCTCCGCTTGAAAACATCCAGCGAAGGAGCATCCACCACCTCCAAGGCAGTCTGTTCCACTGCTCAGCCATTCTTACAGTTAGTCAGCTGCATCATCTGCCCTCTGGGCCTCTGGAGCAGAAAAAGCCGTTCTGGAATCAAGATTTAGGTATGGGATCCTCATAGCCCTGGCCTGGTTGTGATGCAGGTTGTGATCCTTACCTGACAAAGCCATAAGTTGAAAGAATCAGATCCATCAGCCTTCTGCTACAAGCAGGGTCCATTCACCGTCCAAATATCCACTCCCCCAAATCCAGTTCACAAACAAGAAGCAGAAAGCTGATAGCTGAACAACTGATCTCTGGAATCTGGAGATGGGCTGTAATTCCGGGGGAACCCCAGGTCCCACCTGGAGGCTGGCATCCCTAGCCCCAGGTGAGACTAGCAAATAAGCCACACCCTGCAGAGGAAGGTGTGCCACATTACACCTGACTCTGTGGGTGCAGAAAACCCCTTCCCTGAACCTGGTTTTGCATGCCCCTTTTCTGTGCACCCGTTTCTTGTTGCCCCAGAAACATGATGATTCAGAGAGGCAGATGCTTCATCTCCACGTCATACCATCTCTTCTGCACATCCGTCTTGACAGCGCCAGCCCACAAAGGTCTGCCCGCAAACTCAGACCTAGAAGGAAACGCCAGCATCTCTCGAGTGCCGAAATATTTTCCTTCCCCCTGCTGATGGCTCAATTATCAGCATT